GTAAACTTGTGCAAGGACCGCAATGCCGCCGCTTGTACACCACCGAACTCTGCCTTTTCAACTGAGTTGTTTTCAGCCAAGACGGGGACGGCAATGAAGGGATCAATCTTAAGAAATTTAGGGAATCTCAGGAATCATAGGGAAATTGAGGGATTTGAAAGGGAAATAATAAAAGGATGTTACCCGCTAAAGAAAGTTTAGTTGGTTTCATAGCGGGGCAGAAGATGGCAGATAAAAGACTACATGAAACTGATGAGGAAGAAATGAAGCAAGAAGCCCGATACTAAAAGCAAATCCAGTAGTGTATACCTAGAAGCTAGAAGCTTCCCTTTCGTTTCTGTTGTTTTCAACATAGTTTTAGTTGTACACCGTAAAAATGCTGAGTATAATAGTATATGATCAGCAAATCCAATAAAAAAACAAAGAATCTCATACAGGTTGTTAGAAAATCGGGCTGATATTCCCTAAAACGACTTCGATTGCTTTGAAAAAGATTGGGCAACTTACCCACAATCGACACAGTTATGCATCAAATTCATTTGTCCAACACCTACCTTCACATTTAATTCACGAAATATACGATTTTAAAAAGCAAAGGGGTGCTTTGGAAATAACGAACACATGTTGGACTGAAAATTCTCGGGCGGTTGATTGGGAACGCGACGCGATGGGCAGCGATGCGGTTTGTAATTGTTCAGGTTTGTCGCTTGGGTCACATTTACTGCAAAGACAAGTACCTTTGAAATGGCTTATAACTTGACCATTGAAACTTTGGTTTTGTCAGTGTGTTGGTCTGTTTCATCGGTTTCTGGCTTTAATTGTTGGACAGACTCAAAATGAAGGATACCTGTTTGAATTTGGGCGCAATGAGTGGGTAACTTCAATTAAGTCCAGTGCTACTGTAAAATTCTTTGCAAATCATTCATCTAATGCAAGCTGAACTGTAAGGGATTCCTTGGGCTGCAGAGCACGATGAGATCCTATCACTGTTCCTTTGGTCCTGTCGAGAAATGTTGTTAGAAAGTGTATTTGAACACCCTTGACCTTACTTTTCAACATCATCCTTATTCATTGGGGCTCTAGCTTTCCCATAGTTAGATTAATTTTTTAGCTAATTTCTTCTGACGTTCTTGTCTTTATGACTAAGCTATTATAGAACATCCCTTCAAATTCTCACCCAAATACCAAAATTTCTTTCCTAACATACTCGTTTTCTTCATATCATGAACTCTTCGTTTTCCATCCTTCTGTCTATTCAGGCCCTGTTTTTTTTTTCGAATTCTTCACCGAATGAGCAAGTTCTCTGGACTTCTGATTCTTATCACATTCTAGATTTTCGTAGAGATTTGTGACATGAATCGGAAGCGAATTTGGGGTAGTGCCAAATGGGGTGCTACCCCTGGCGAAACGATTTCGAATGCAAATCGAGTGTGTGGCGCGTTCCAAAACGGGATTAGTCAACGTCAAAAATTCTTAATCCTTCCTTGAAGCGATACCGGATCGAGACATGGCACTGCTGCTCGAACAGACACACTCAACATCCCAGAGATTGTTTATTAGCTGTAAACAACCGTCAGACAAAAGTTTATTAAACAAATGACATCAGAAATACAAAGTACACTTTTTTATTATAATGACCCGTATCGCTTGTAAATGAGCTAGCTACTGCCTCGTGTCTTATACAGTTCGATTAGTCTCTGGAGTACTTCACGTTGATTTACTCCTGAAAATATACATTTTACTACGTCTGTTATCAGTATCAATATCAGTTCTTACCTTGGAAAACATATGGTGCACTAAATAATATGCCACATGTTCCTCCTACAGTAATACCAAAGAATACATACAGTAGTAATCGATCAATAATCATTGCCACATACTTCCAATCGTCTCGATACTGAAACACAATTCATAAGGACTATGAAATAAGAGTGAAAAACGCCTTTTTGGTAGCCTCGCTTGTCCTTAGAAATCTGTTTGGAGATGTTTATACTTTTGATCCCATACTGAAATAGCTCTCAGCCTGCTGTGGTCTACAGTGAAATTTGATAGATAATTTCGTTACTTACAGCATAAATAATCGAAGACAAACAAATTTCTCCTCTATTTTTTGATAAATTTGCAAGGATACTCGAAAAAACCAGCAAAACAGCAAAAAGTAGTGAGGGTTGGTGGGGTGGAAACATAGGCTATTTTTGATTTTTTTTCTCGTGAAGGTGATCGAAAATTTTGAAATGAAGCTATTTGAACTCAATTCTTACCATTTTGTACTCCTCGTCTTTCTTTAGGTGATCTGTAATGTATTCGATGGCATCTATGGCTAATAGAGCATCGGGTGTCAGTGGATGAAACACTGACGTTGCAGGATCGCGAAGGATCTCGATTGAGGAGTTCAACTTTGTTCTCGTTGAGGTAGTGGTCCTGAATATTTTGGATTAACAACAGCCAAATGGTGTTCATGAATGCTCTCAGCCATTTTAACTGATTCCGGGCATAAAAAGGCAAAAGTAAGAATGTTGAGCATTTCTGAAATTGAATATCTTGTGGAATAAGAACGGACTTTCTATGGCCACTTAAAGATTTTGCCCTTTGCAGACGTTCGGTTTCGAGGGGCGTGGCTAAACTCGCAATGGCGGAAGCTAGTTCTGATACGCCCATAATAATATGTCGGGAATTTCTCATTCTGCACGATATCTCGCCTCTACAAGACAACAAGTCCGGCCAAGCTACAGTCTCCTCCCGGAACTTGGAGCGGAACTTACAAATTCTACATTATTTGTTTTCAGGGTAGTAGGATTGGCTTTATAGTTGATTGTCCTGTTTTGATGAAGCTGTGATACCTACATGATATAAAGAATGGTGAGAAAAATTATTTTGGAGATTGACACCAGGAAAAGCCATCTTAAGAAAGTG